TCATTGTACTTCGTTTTCAGTTACGTATTGCTCTGTGATGCATTATCTCAATGTCCTCATTTTCTTTATTTTGACCATTACAGTATTTAGAAAAGTTATGGATGTTAGTATATATGAAGATATGCTTTTTAAGTGTGCTATTTTATAATAATGCATAGATAAAGTATTTTGATGACATAAGATTTTTTTTTTTTACTGGGAATAGCCCATCCGGGCACAGGTCATCGACCCACAACGGGGACTGGTTAAGGGGAGAGAAAAATAAGAGTACAGTAAACAGAAATTAAAAATAGAAAAGAAAAAGATTATATAGCAATATTTCCGATAGCCGGAATTGAAATTTTCCGAGAGGCACATTTTCCGGAAAATAACTAGAAAAATTCCCGATACCCGGAAAATTCTGGGGATGAGGGATATTTTTCCTGGTTCGAGAGAGTCGTCTCGTTACCCGGCAATTTCTCATTCCCGAAAGTGCTCAGCACCAATTGTTCCGGCTAACGGGAATATCACTATTAATCTACACCACGAAGATGCCGGAAAACCATCTTTTTGGAGTGAGACAAATTGCATGGGTATGGAAACACAAAAGAAGACAGAGCATTCCACAGTTTGGCTGTGTGAGGAAAGAAGGAGGTACTATAACGGGTTATTCTCGTGTGACCGACATCCACAGAGAATTGGTGGGCACCGCGGGCAAGACGAGTGTTACGAGCCCACGGCCTTGCCAGCGGTACACAGGATGCCAAATTCACCTAACATTGCCCGTTAAAGTACAGTAAGTCCTCGTATAATATCGGCCCGCTTAACGTTGTTTCAGTACTACATCGCTAATTTTTAGGTACTCAAAATTCGTTTAACGTCCCGATGACACAGTCCAAAGTCATTTTGCATCGTCAGGGACTACTTTTTACGGCGCATCACCCTCTCTCAGCACGGTACATCACAGCGTCCACAAGCTACTCCAGTCTTTGTTAGGCTTCCACAGCGTTAGTGTGTGTTTAAGTGTTTTTGCTCTTAATACAGTCGGCCCTTAACATACGCGGATTTATAATACACGGATTTGCAAATACGCGGAAAGGGAAAGTAAAATGATGTTAATTGTAATTTTATCATTTCACCAATAATCTACTTACTAGCCATTCAAGCATTTGGTCGGTTCTTTGTTACAAACTTCATTGTTCAGTGTTAGTGCCATAGAAAAGCTGTGATAATTAGTCACACTGGATAACACACTTCCTGTGTGTGTCCCGGAGCAGGACACTCTAGTGGTGAGAGATACACACGATACTCATGTACCACCAGCATCAAATATTACTTAGAGAAAAAGGCTACTGAGATACACTGTATGGTCAGTAATATTGCATGATTCAGAAGTGCAGACACTGTTGACACCAGAAGGCGGCAAGAGGCCTTCATGTTTTTCTTTTGTTCACCTAATGGCCACCCAAACTAGAGGTGGCCATGCTGAGGGAAGAAGGCCAGTGACCTGTGTAGGCTCCCTTCAGATGGGGTTTTTCTAAAGATAAATTTTACTGATGGAAAAGCAAATGAAGAAGAGCTGACGATTGACAAGAGTAATGAGGGGAATAGAAATTTATCGAGGAAGAAAAATTAAATAATTTGGCCATATATTTATGAATGAGATGATAGTGGCAGCTGTCGAGATATGAATGGGTAAAATTAAGGGTCAGGGCCAGGTGAAGATAAAGAATGGGGTTGATGAATAATATAAAAGCTAGGTCCCTTGGAGAGAGATGAAATATGGAAGGCTTAGTCTGAAAATTCTTGGAAGTGGAAGACCTTGGCCACCAACCTTCAGACATGAATGTATCTTGATTGATTAATTGATGTTGGGAAATATCAGCCATTCTTAAGTGTTTTGTGAATTGAATTTATTAATTTTACAGGTGGAGCTGAAATCATATCTATTGATGCTGTAAACAGATCTGTCATTCAAGAGGATTTCATCATAGGAATTACAATTATTAAAGTAAGTTGTTTTGTAAAATCTCAAGAACATTGCATTATATATATGTAATTGTATCGTGCAGTTTTTCATAGATTCATTTTATATATACTGTACACATGTTTGCAGGGGTTACCTTCTTGAAAATTCCTGTAAACTGTTAATCCATGAAGTGCAAATATATAAGGGTAATGGGAAAAATAAGGTATGGGACTTCAACTTAAAAAAAAATCCTCATTTGCCAAACTATGCCGGGTCTGTGCTTTGTTTTTGTGAAAAAGTTGTTAAGAACATATAATAAAGTCTATTTTCTTGAAAAAAAAGTGTTATTACAAATGGATTACTTTCCAAAATTTCGTTCACAAGTCGTTTATTTCGACCTCAAAACTCAGTGTCTCTGTTATTAATGGTGGTTATGTTTCCAAGCCAGTCCACATAACCTTTTAATCCATAAATTAACCTGTTGGCCTTTTTGACACTGACAGACACCAGAATGTGGGTGGGAGATTATGTAAATCTGGCCATGTAGAGTTCATGCAAGTTCAGTTCAAACCCATATTATAGTACTGCATAGCATAGCATAGTGGAGAAATGTATGGCTTTTTCATATTCCTGAATTTCCTCACAACCAGATTTTACACACTGAACCAGAATTATTATATTAGTAAATGTATTGGAGGGAATATTAGTACCAACAGAGGGCGACCTCACTTTCCCTGGTGATCGGACAATAATAACCTCACAAAATATAACAGTTGAGGATGAACCTGATCACGAGATCTGAGGTTGACGAGTTCCACAACAATTTAAGTAATGAGTTACTTAATGCTTCCGGAAGATGCATTCAACAACAGATGCTCTTGTTCGTCTTGAGTCCTCGGTCTGTGAGGATTTTGCTCGTTGCCAGCATCCCGTCTGTGTTTTCTTTGACCTAGAGAAAGCAGACGACACAGCTTGGAGACTATTCATCCTTAAGGAGCTTCACAATGTTGGATTGCAGAGAAATTTACCATCAATAATTATAGGTCAGTTTTTGGACTTCACTTCTGTGTTACCACAGAAATGTCATCACCACATATTCAGAAGGAAAGGGTTCCTCAGGGCAGTGTCTTGAGTGTGACCCAATTTGCTAAAGCAATAAATGGGGTAGCACCATTGGTTCCAGGTGGTGTATCAATCTCATTGTATGGAGATGACTTGGCCATTTGGTATGCAGCTTCCCACATGTCAGTGGCTGAACGTCGCATGCAACTTGTACTAGTCATGGTTTCACTTTTGATCACAGAGCGTGGTTTCAGATTTTCTCCCGTGAACTCCGTTGCCATGCATTTCTTCCTTCTTCGAGGTGTTCACTGGGATCTTCGATATGTCACGGAGACTCGTTTCCTAGGCATTATCTTCTACAACTAGCTTACACGGCAGCCGCATATTCATTACCTCAAAGAGTCTTGCCAGCGCTTTCTCAAGTTATTGAGAGTCTTGGGGCACACGTTGTGGGGTGCTGACCAAGGAACTCTATTTCACTTTTACCACATGCTGGGGTGTGCCTGGCGGACCAATGCCTTCAGGTCTTCACCAATCCCAAGTCTACTAGTTGACTCTGATGACTTCACCCCTTGATCTTCTATGTCAATATCTCCAATTCCAGTGTTGGTTTTACTTCCACAGTCTGTAACCAATACTTGTGTAGTTGACGAGACTATGTCCCCACACTACACTGAGCATCCATGCCTCCCATGACTTTAGGCTTCAGGGTAAGGGAAGTTGTGAGTCTTCTTTGTCTTCCTCCTGTTCAGATATGCCCCATGCGGTTCCCTTGGAGTTTCCTGAAGTTTAAGTTTGTCAGTATTTTATCGAAAGGAAGGGCTTACTCCCTCCCTGTTTGGTTCATTCTCTTTTTTTACACCATGCCTCCTCTCACAGAAGGACTATCCCTCTTTACACTAACGGCTTTACGTCGGATACAGGGGTAGGTTTCCTGAATTCTGTCAGGATGGTAGTCTTCCCACTATGGCATAAATTTTTGTGGCAGAGCTGTCAGGTATTTACTTGCCATCAAGATTATTTTTACCCAACCTAATAGCGATTTTACAATTCTTAGCAATGCTCACAGTGCTCTCCAGGCCTTAGCTAGTGTGTCATCATCCCATCCTTTTGTTATAGATATTTCACAGTGACTGTTTCTCTTCCAACATCAGGGCCAGAAAGTAAGTTTTGTTGGGTTCTGGCCCATGTGGGGGAGAAGGGGAATGAGTGTGCTGCTGATGCTGTGGTGAAAGCAGCTGCTTCTCACCATGTGGTACATCATTTCCCTGTACTTACCTCTGATATAAAGCCAGTAATAACAGCTGCCATCTGCTCGAGTTGGCAATACAGGTAGGATGCTGTCAGAGCAAACAAGCTCCGTGACATCCACTCTGCATTGGGTGCCTGGGGATATCAAAGACTGTCACACCACTGGGAGACTGCTTTGGCCCTCCTCCGCATTGGCCACGCATGGCTGACTCCTGGTTTTTTAATGGAGAGGGTGCCCCCTCCCCATTGTGATGATAATCTGGTCCCATTGACTGTTTGACACCTCCTGGTGGAGTGGCCCAGTCTCAGAGATCTTCGTAGTAAGCACCTCCTGCTGGGGGAGATGGGTCTTACCATCTCTTTTTGGTGCTGGGGGGCAAGGATGTCCTCTTTGTGGAGGATGCCAGCCTTCTATGCAAGCCTCAAGTTTTATCTATTAACGTTTAAATATTTGTTACCAGAGTTCTATGTTATTTGTTACATATGTCCTTTTACCTTCCATTATTTTATCATTGTCTTTTAATCTTTTATTTTAATTCGGCAACATATGACTTTAGTTGTTGCATTGCCAGGAATATAATAACCACCATCAATCAATCAATCAATCTTTGTTAGGTGCTCTGCTAGAAGTAAATTCAGTTTGTGGTAAAAAATTTCTGATGATAGCATTTAAAAACAAGATAATTGTATTATTGATTATACTGTAATATTAAAGTTTTGATAAATAAGGACTGCAGTACTTTTAAAGAATATTGCTGTAGATCAAGTTATACTGTACATTATATATGTTGCATTGTGCCAGCATCAAGAGATCATGCTCTAAGCAAGAACTTTGATGAAGAACTGTAAAAAAAAGTCTTAAAAGAAAGCAAGAAACTTTAGACTGTTAAAATTTATTAACATTTGTGTTTACAGAAGGATGATGCGACAGGACAGCAGAGCCATTTCTTCAATGTTTACTCAGACTGGGATTTAAATTCAGACAGTGCCTTAGAGGTTGTGTCTCAGAACTGCCTGCCACTTGAATTGGACTTTGTACCTTATCATCTCTACCACATTAAAACAAAAGGCAAAAATGGATGGGAGGTAAGAATTTTTTTTCATAGTTGTAGTCCTTGTTACATCATTATTACAAGAAAAAGCAAGTTACTCAAGCAACCACACTCAACACTAGGCCTCTTTTAATATATCTGTACTGTACACTGCACATTAGATACAGCTCCTCCCGACTTCATTAATTCCACTGACTTACTTAATTACCACGCGACTCATTAATTTGCCTCGGTCGTAAAAGGGAAAATTTTTTCAAATTACGTGATTTCGAGTCCCAACGCCAGTGATTGCGCTTGTGTACTGGCAAAATTTTTCGTTTGTAAATCACTTTAAAAATGGCTGGCAAGCTTAAGTGAGAGTTATGTGATGCTGAGAAGAAAAGAGACACCCATTTTATTTTCTATGTATTATTTAAGCATTTTCACTTACGACCATTACGCACTTACGATCGATTTAGCCCCTAATGATACACATATACATATACTATATATATATATATACATATATATACACATACATATATATATACATACACACACACACACATTAAGGAAACAACGAGGTCTTAGCTGCTTCAGTCTGCAGACATCTTCAGTTGCCTCTGAAGATGTCTTGAATAGAGACGAAAGCTAAGGTACTCCGTTGTTTCCATTCTCCCGTGTGATTTTATCAAGATTTATCTTATCCACGTTTTCATTGTGGATTTACATGAAATAAATATATATATATATATATATATATATATATATATATATATATATATATATATATATATATATATATATATATATATATATATATATATATATATATATATATATATATATATATGCTGATAACCACAAGGAAAGAAGAAAACACGAAGTTCCCAAGCGCTTTCGTGTAATTCACATCTTCAGGGGTGAGTACAGACTAAAGAGAAATACAAACCAAGGTGTATATATACAGAGGAGGGTGAGACCAGGTCCACAATGGTCAGGTATTAGGTAATGACCCTACTAATCTTTAAATAGCACGGCAACGGTCGGTAGTCAGGTCAGAGGGTAAGGTGACCCAACCTTCTCACCTAGTTACAAATCTTCTTAATTACAAAATTGTCCAGTTTGTACATGCCATTACTCAAATTCATGTTGAATGCTTCGGTATGTTTAAGGAGACTAGATTCTATGATGTTCCTACTATCAATTGAATTACAAGGTAATATTGAGCTTTCCTGCCACAACTTAACAGCTTAGCCCCCTCGATCAAATTCACTGTGGAATTAGAGCAAGACTGTAAATTGCCATTCCTAGACTGTCTGATACACAGAATAGGTAACACTTTTAAGTTCAGTATTTATAGAAAACCAACTAATGTGTGTTCATACATTCATTATTATTCTGCCCACCATAATAAAGTCAAACAGTCAGTATTTTCAACAATGTTTTTACATGCTTTGAGAATTTGCAGTCCGGAATTCATTGATGAGGAATACAAATATATATATAATATTGGCTCAAACCTTAAATACCCTAGATCTTTCATAGACAAATGCCTAAACATTACTAAGAAAACTTTTTATAGAACTGATCCCAAGCCCACCCATGACCATAAGAATATCTTAATATTACCATTTCACAAAAATTTCTCACACATTCCTTCACAACTAAAAACCTGGAACGTCAATGTGGCATTTAAAAACTCATGCACTGTTAAACAAATGTTAATCAAGAACTCCCCCAACAACACAATTGGTTGCATTTATAAAGTTCCTTGCAAGGAATGTAATATGTTTTACTTAGGGACGTGATCTTGCAACTCAAATAAAAGTGTTTTTTCCCAGGCCCCCTAATATATATATATATGTATATATATATATATATATATATATATATATGTGTATATATATATATATATATATATATATATATATATATATATATATATATATATATATATATATATATATATATATATATATATATATATATATATATATATATATATATATATATATATATTAGAGCCTTCAATAACGACTGTACTGTGTCCTCCAATGGTGCAGTGTAAGGAGAATCATCGTATCACGAATCATTAATTACCATTAAAATAAAGCAATAATAATGAGATGCGTTCCCAAGTGTGACCCTTTCAAATCTTTTGTGTGGCTTTTTACCCTCTTTTCCCCCCAAAACAATACAATTAATGAAAATTGCAAACTATAATCTTTCAATAATGTTTCTGAATGCACCTTATACAATATACACTATATGAATAATATGGTCACACAAGAGGAGATGGGACGCCATTGTTTTCGTTTGTGTTTACAGCCGGGAGTCCTGGGCGATAGTTCTACATGAGAAAATGAAGAAAATATGACCCTGGTTGTAGCTGTTGTAAAATTAATGTAAAAAAATTAATATATATGTTTTAAGTCACGTTATTTAATGTTAATAAATGGAACAATAGAAGTAGCTAACCACTAATGGCAAAGAAAAAAAAGATATTGATTGGGAACGCCAACATATGCGTGCGCATTTAAGGATACCACGTCATTTATCTTTTTAAGAATATGTACAAAAGATTCATTATTGTTTATTACTGAATACGTATTTGATTGAATTAATCTTTATATATGCGAAATGAACAATACAATTCATTAATAATATGTAGAATATTAAAACACACAAGAGGATAAGAGACGGCATTGTTGTCAGTGTTTACACCCATAATGTCAGTTATCCACCTGAAACTGAAGAAAATCAGACCCTGGTTGTTGTTGTAGTAAAATTAATGTAAAAAATATGTATGTTTTAATTAATGTTATTTAATGTACATACAACCTCTTTTGGTCGCTGCATGGTATGTCATGGTATGTTGATACTGGAGTAAAAAAAATCAGTTCTAATTAAGTTTGACAAACCATTTTTTTCGTCCAAATAATCCTGAATACTTTATCTAAAAATTTTATTAAATGGCGGACATGGAGCCATGTGCTACAGCGAAGACAGTGTGGTATTTTCCTCGATTCTAAACAACACATCTCGCAGAAGCAGTATTTATTGACACAAACACCACTGTACTGTACAGGTACAATATTGTTCTTACTGTAAACAAAATAATGTATGCTACTATACTGTACAGTATAAACTGTATACTGTGCTCACCAGCAGACACTTCACTCAGCTGACTGTAATACTTAACTGTAATCACGTCTTAACACTTGTGATGGAGGTTGGGTGAGAGATTATTGGGTCATGTTACTAATCTGACCTGATGCAATATCAGTTCACCCATTGTCGGGGTGGGGGATTAGTGGGTCTTATGACCTGAAAATGTCTTGAATAAAGACGAAAGGTAAGGTCATCCAGTGTTTCCCACTTACTGAATGTACAGTTTAGTATATGGAACTGTAATCACTTTTTGCATTCTTAACACTGCTTGAACACTATTCTTGGCTGATTTTGTTCTGGTACAACACAAATTGTACCTGTACAACACATTTTGTACACAGAAACGGCAACTAGCGAGGGAACAACCATTTAGGGCGACAGAATATTAACTAAGCGATCGAAACAGCAAGGCCACTCACGCGCCTGGCACATGGGGATGGGTTGGAGCATGATGCAATCTTTCGGAATGCCCTGAAAATTTATACCCAGACCCATAAAAAAATGTTGTTTAGATTTTCCAGAGTTTTTCCTCCAGAAAATGCACCTGATTTTCAAACCCGGAATTGAGAATTTTTCCAGAAAAATTTTGTGCAAATTTCAATTCCGGCTATTGGGAGTTCCGGTTAAGAGGGATTTCGGCTAACGGAGATGTTACTGTAATTCTTAAGATAACCTCATGAAGGAGTCTCTTTTCTTTTTGTTCCCTAGTACCATAAGTGAATTGATAAATATCTTTTATCTATTACAGACAGTCTGGTTACTGAGTGGGAGTGATTGTTGCATCCACATCTATCACTCAGATGATGAGAGTCACAGTTATCAGGAAGTGGATTGCTCAGAATCATTTCCAGAGTTCACCAATATGACTGACATTACTCTTTGGATGGATATCTCTTATTCTTCAGATAATAAACAGTAAGAGATTAGTACTTGACCCCTCGTACAGTGACCCCTCGTTTAACGAACGCCTCGGTTAACGAAATTTCGGTTAACGAACTGCCTTCCATAAGGATCTTCAATTCGGTTAACGAACAAAAATTCGGTTAACGAATTTCTTACGAACCGACCTCAACATGTTTTCGCTTGCACTGGCCGGGCAACCAGCTTTAGTATCAGTCCGCCAATACATTAATCGGTTCTAGGGCTTAAATTCCTAACTATTTTAGTAAATATCAAGAAGTTTATACTATTCAATAATTTTAATAGTTTAATATTCAATTTTTTAGCCATTTTAACAATTATTGAATATAATTGAAGGTAAAGTGACTAGTTTAAAGCGCAGCATCCAGCCTCTTAACACACCAGACAGGCGTTAGTCTCTCTCTGTTTTCAGTGGAGGTAACATCTTGCTTGAGACTCTCTTCAACTAAACGCTTTTTTTCTGTGTTTCCAAGCAAATTATTGGTCATTTTGAAATATATTTTACATATTGACAATATATAATGCAGTACAGTGTTGATTTAAAGAAAATAATCTTGAAATACACCAAGAGAACTAAAATTTTATGGGTGAAATGGTGCCATGGGGTGACTTCTCTTCCACCCCAATGCCTTCTCTTCTTCCTTCTCCTCCACCCCCATTGTAATTCCCATCATCATCATCATCATCCAGGAGCCTTCTACATACACACCTCAAAGTAAGTGAACTTTTCTACCATTTTTGTTGAATTTAGGAAATTTTCGGTGAGCTGGAACCAATTACCCAAAAACCCATTGAAACAATGGTTTCGGTTAACGAACTTTTCGGTTAACGAACGACCTTCTGGAACGGATTGAGTTCGTTAACCGAGGGGTCACTGTATATATATGCAAGTAAATCACTGTAGGTGCGCGTGATCTAGGTATATGGTGATAACCACAAGGAAAGAAGAAAACACGAAGTTCCCAAGCGCTTTTGTGTAATTCACATCTTCAGGGGTGAGTACAGACGAAAGCGCTTGGGAACTTCGTGTTTTCTTCTTTCCTTTTATATGTGGATTTACATGAAATATATATATATATATATATATATATATATATATATATATATATATATATATATATATATATATATATATATATATATATATATATATATATATATATATATATATATATATATATATATATATATATATATATATATATATATATATATATATATATATATATATATATATATATATATATATATATATATATATATATATATATATATATATATATATATATATATATATATATATACACACATATATATACACAGTGGGGTATGCTATAACGAACGGATCCTACTACGAATATTCCTATAACGAACGGTTTTACCTATAAAATTGAGAATGCTATAACGAACGAAACTCCTACAACGAACATTATTTAATTTTTTCTTTTTTTTTCTAATTTATTGTTTTTTATTACAAATATTAATGATATTCTTTATTTCAGGGGTTTAGATGCATATTTATGCACTTTCTTACAATTTTTACAATTTTATATTATATTTTTCAGTGTCAAGTGGTTGTATTTGGGGGCCTGGAACGGATTAATCCTATAACGAACGAATGCTATAACGAACAAGGTTCTAGAACCAATTAGATTCGTTATAGCATACCCCACTGTACCAAAATTTTATCAAATTACGTATTTTTGAGTCCCAACGTTAGTGATTGCACTGTGTACTGACAAAATTTTTGTTTGTAATTCACTTTAAAATGGCTGGCAAGCTTAAAAGTGAGAGTTTTGTGGTGCTGAGAAGAAAAAGAGACACCCATTTTCGACTTACGACCTGGATTTGGATCCCTAATTCCGTCGTAAGTCTGGGAGGAGCTGTATATGTATATGGTTTGATAAAGTTTTAGTGTATTTTTTAGAATGGGGTGCCTCGATAAGTCGGAATTTAGGATAATTCGGCAAATCCAGAGCCCCATACGTGGAGAGTTATCAAGGGTTTACTGTACATCATATAGGTATGGTGTTAACAAAGTTTTGTTGAAACATTGCAAATAAAACTGACATGAATCAGTTACTTTCTATTATAACAATAAACATTAACTGTCCCGGTGTGGAGTGAATTTAATGTCAGCTTCTTAGATTTTGATATTTTTAGCCTTGATAAACGTCAAAATGTTTTATTTATTTTGTTATTTTAAAAAGTGAATGAAAGTTATTGTCGTTTTGATTGAGTTACTTTTCTTCTCCCAGTAGGGTGGACATGCGAGACATTACAATGGGCTACAAACTTTGGTGATTTTATTTTATTTAAGAACAGAGCTGATGACTACTTGTATTTTAAGAATAATTGCAATATTCAACAAAAAAGACTGAATATCTTGAGTAGTTATATATTTTTCTCTTGACAGAAGAGTGTCAGCAACATGTGGTGAGGGGGGCATTGTTCACATGTTTTGCGTGAATGTGGAATCTAAGCCACTGGTAACTGCAAGTCGCACTGTACTTTGGGATTATCCATCTGCATCTGTTAAGATATTTGACTTGAAGACTGTTCTGCCGATCCCCAGGTATCTTCAAGGAGGTAAGTTTTTTCCTCCATACACAGTGAGGTCCTGATGCATACCTGAAAAAGTGTTTGTTAGGTGAATTCTTGTTCATTAGGACTCATTTTCTCATAGAATCCCGCATTATAAGCCGAGATGTGTTCCAGCCAACTTTTTTTTTCTCTCAAACCCCCATTGTATAAACCAGTGGCGCCCACAGGATTTTCTGATGTGGGATGAGCACCTCTAGACTCTAACATACAAAAATACTAATAGATGACAACTGTACAGAAAAAAGTTTAATAAACAAAAATGTCTTTGAAGATATGTAACACTATTATTTTTATTAGGATTAGACCATGTTCCATGCATAATATTAGGATTAGACCAAGTTCCATGCATAATATTAGGATTAGACCATGTTCCATGCATAATATTAGGATTAGACCAAGTTCCATGCATAATATTAGGATTAGACCATGTTCCATGCATTATATTAGGATTAGACTATGTTCCATGCATAATATTAGGTTACTGGGAAAAGTTTCCGAATGTCTAAACTAGACATCTTGCCCAGATGGACACTAACCCACTTCCCCACTTCTGGGTGCTGGGGATGTTTTCCTTGACTCTTAACTACCAGAGACCATAAATGCAGTTCTATTGAAGTTAAAAACTCCATTTCTTTACTATTATAATCCAGAATAGTTTATCTAAAATTTTGGTTCAATAAATATATTTAAAAATTAAAAATCTATAGGATATGGGCATGAGTGAAGCTGTGTGTTACAGCAAACACTGGTATTTTCCACTCCGATGGAGCTGTGGGGGATTAGTGGGTCTTGTGCGTGGAGGTATAATAGGGTGGAGGCGGCAACTGCTCAGAAAAGTGAGGTCACTCTGAGCTGCCAGAAGCCATATTGTGGTTGGCATAAGAGGCTAGGTCGCCGCCGTGTCCTGCCAGTTAACAGTCACCAGCTCACAGGTGCACATGTTTCTCTTGTGTGTATAACAATAAAAATGCCAGTATTGTGTGCTGCTTATGGATGTACTGCTAGGTTCGACAAGACTTTAGATCCTCATCTTACATTTCATCGGTAAGTAATATCTTAATTGATATAGAATTAAGTATAAAGTGAAAAAAATTGCGATCATGTGGCAAGCGTGTGTAACCAGTTGCAGTGCATGCATCTCCCTCAACCCTTCTCGTTTTAAGGGCTATTTTAAATATGCAAAAGCGCAATATGTGCGTGCACTGCATATAAGTGAGATGTAAATCATCTGACAAGAGGGATTATATTAAACTATTCATTGATATATTAGGAGTGTTGTTCACTGATAGAGATGTCAGTATTGATGGAAAAATATGTTCTAGAATATTTCTTAGATTTTAATTTCTTTGAGTTTTAAAAATGACCTGCTTCATAGCAACATCATTCAGTATTAATACATACAGTGGTAATTGATATTGTTACTTAACATGAAAAATTAAGCTTATGCATATTGCCAGCCATGTGCGGTATGTCGCAGTAAAGATCATTGTGTCTCAGGATGCTATAATTTTTGTTCTTAATAGCTTTCATTTTAGAAGTAGTTTTTATCTCGTAATTTAAAGTTTTCCTAAAGATGAGGTTTTAAGACAGAAATGGGTTCGGGAAACAAGACGTGAAAATTTTGTTGCATCTAAGCATACACGTCTGTGCTCAAAGCACTTCAGAGACGAGGACATAGACGTGTTGTCTGAGTCATCTTTACCTAATGAGGAGGAGCATGATTATACACATGTTCCTAGCAGTTTCCATTTGTCCCAATGTTCCAACAAAGTTGTTGCATATATAGCTGGCTTCGTTGTGTTTCGGTTAAAGAAATCTCTACACTATGAAGCTTGTGTTGATGCCTTAACAAGCATTTATGTTGGCCAGATGTTTATCAGCCCATGTTCGTACTGCTCTCTGAAAACATGTACTACCGCTGGATCCTCCAGACGCTTAGTGTTAAAACCTCTTCTAGAGGCTTGTTGTCTTCGCCGTTTTGGGGCGACGTGAAGTGAGAGCTTGGCTCTGACTAGCCGGTGATCAGTGATGCAGTGGATACACACATGCACACACACACACACACAAAAAAAAAAAGAGTTAAGACAACAAGCATCCAGAGTGAGTATCTTGTTGTGTGCTGCTGGTGGTGAGTTAAAGATCAGCTGTTGAGGAGTGCTTGGCAACACTGGTGTATGTTACCACTCCATCTCTATAATCATCCACACCTTTCCGATTTCTCTCTATATTTTAAAATGTTATGTAATGTAATGTTGAAGGGATACAACTTTTCTCATTTATACTTATATTTACCACAATCTCCCTAAAATACTTTAGGTTTTATGTTTATTCAAGACATCTTCAAGTCATGAGACCCATTAATCCCCCACCCAAGAAAGGGTGACCTGACATTCCACAGAAGGTCAGTAATATTAGACCACTAATCCCCCAACCTACCTCCACCTGACATTGTGTCAGTTACATGAGCCCCACCACAGCTCCATGGGAGTGGAAAATACTACTCTTCACTGATTTTACACTCTGTTCACAACACTAACTTCAGAGCTCTGTAGATAGCATGCACTTTTTCACCTGAGTTCAGTCCTCTTAGTACTGTGCATCCAGTTCATCTCCAAAGTGATGGTCTTCCCCTTCATATATTGAATGGTACTACTCATACTAATAGCTGTCTTCTTTGGACTTATTATTGTTGGGATTGATCAAAAAAGTGATGAGAAACAAGCAATTATAGGCAATTCACAGTCCATGAGGTAAAACATACTAAAATAAACAGACACTGCCAAGTTGTCTAGGCGCACTAGTTAACCAGGCTGCGTCAGTATGCCACTGACTTCACCTTAGAGTACTGTATAGGAAACGAGTACAAGTACACTAGCCTGACTCCATAAATGATATTGTGAGCTGGTTGCCTCAGAATTGTGTTTGTTGAATTGAAGACAAGTTCATATATTTAATTCTCATTCACCATTTACTCGTTCAGTGTGACCTCTCTTTAACCTCTTCACTACGGGGACTCCACTTTTAACAATTTATTTGGCTGTCTGTATACAGTTTTATTCAGCACAGAGGGGAACTTGTACACAAGTGGTTTGTAAACTATCTCCCCTAACCCCTTCACTAAGGGGACACCACTTTTGATAATTTAATTGGCAAATGCCAAAAGGTTTTATATAACAGAGAGGGAACCCCGCACACAATTGGTTAAAGAAAGGTACAGCATAATGACCCCTTTCAGCACAAAATCAATTAGTGCTTACTTCATTAGGAATGCATCCTGGAGCACTTCGGAAAGCATGAATGTACTTCCATTCCAGTTTTTACTTATCTTTGCAATCAAGCTTACTGGTACAGTCGACCCTCGTTAATTCGGACCCCTTTAATCCGGATTTCGGATAAATCGGACGAAATCTGAACTGTCCGTATCAAATTTCTGGTTCTGGGATTGTCCCAGTTGCAGTTGGAGTTGCAATTTCAAATTCTGTGTCACTACTAAGGAATAACGAAGTCTCTGGTGCACTGCACTCTAAGATTAAGAGAAAACGGACGACTCAGGCGTCCTGAGGTGAGAGAAAACGGACTCCTATGACAGGGCACTCAAATAAACATACACATAGCTACATGTTTTGTGGGCTACCCACTGTACAGTATCCTTTTCATCACTTTGTAATAAACCTCGTCATGCCTATGTGTGTTTCTGATAATTACCATAACATTATATTTCTATATATTTAGCGGTTGTACAAACACAAGGCCTCACATATGCCACTCAGACTGACAGACTTGACAAATTTTACCAACCATAAAGACAGTTGAAGCTTTAAACATCACTCACAATGGATCTTGAATATTCCAACTGTAATCAGACATATCTAAGTTGCCTCAACAATTGCAACCCCAGTTGCAATATCAGATTCTGTGTCATTACTAAGGAATAACGAAGTCTCTGGTGCAGTGCACTCCAAGATTAAGAGAAAACGGAGGACTCAGGCGTCCTGAAATGAGAGAAAACGGACTCCTATGACGGGGCACTCAAATAAATATACACATAGCTGTATAATGCAATATTATGCAATGTTTACCCCTAAATCGGTTAATTCGGACAATCGGCTAAAACGGACGTCCTTCCCCCCCCCATTAGTCCGTTTTAACGAGGGTCGACTGTATTTAGGTGTTTTGATCTTGCATTAGAATTTATTATATTTTGCTTTTGTTATCAGCTATTCCTTTTATCTGTATACTGTTACATTAACCCTTTCACATTATCGACAATTGGATAAATCTCACTCATTGGCTGGTGATACAAGTTGTATCATCCAAATCTCTTTCGCTTGCTGGCTGACAGTGCCAGCTGCATCGTCCAAAATTGGGCATGGAAATTTTTTATTGAAAACACCTGGTTTTGGTTTAATAATGCTGCAGGTTCAACAACAATAAGTTATATGAACATTTGTTGGCTGTGTGCAATGCAAGAGGTTTTGGCTGTGCCCGAGGTGAACCAACGGAAGGGGGTCTGGGAACTTTTAGGCACTTAGTGATGCAACTAACATCATCAGCCAGTAGGGTAAATATTTCCAACCTTTATGTATACGAGGTGTGATCCAAAAGCTCCCAGAATTTTTTTTTTTTTTTTTTTTATGGGGATTAGCCCACCTGGGCACAGGTCACTGACCCACATCAGGGCCCGGGGGGGGGGGCGAAAATTTAATAATAATAATAATTCATAGAAAATAAAATTTAAAATAAAAAGTAAAACAAAATATTAATGGTAATAATAATAATAACAACACTGTGATAATAATACATACAAAGAAATGCAAGAATTAAAAAATATCAACAGTGAGAAACGATATATATGTATGTTGTTTTGTCATGTAATAGAAACAATTGAGACCCTACAATTGTGTGTAAATGAGGCAGAAAGTCAGATCAGCAACCTGGGACTTGGTCACAATTTTCGTAATGCCATATGGCAGCAGGGTCTACCATTAGACAACACATTATGCTGCCAATATCTTCCCAGGTGGTAGTACCTCCCTGTTCGGTAGCTGCCTACTACCTACCAATGGCTTCATAGAACCTTTCTCTTAGCAAATATTGAATTCAAATCATCAGCAGTTACTCACCTCGGGTATAAATTGTTTACTGCATCGATTTGACTGGAATCTGTGGCGCCAACCGACAGTAGTGCCGCTTTGTGCGAGTGTGTGTGTACCAGCCCATCTGCTAAGTCGAGTCAGATGCTACTCAGCCCTCAAAATGGAGGGAAGTATCGAGCAATGCTGCATCATCAGATTTTGCTTTAGACAAGGAAAAATGGTGCCAAAACCCATGAAATGATCAAGGTAGCCTACAAACATGAAGCAAGTTTTCAGGTGGCACAAGCACTTCAGAGAAGGGTGCACCTCCATTGGAAATGAGCATCGTTCTGGCGGCCCTCCACTGAGAGAAATTATGAAAATGCCCAGAAAATTGACCAGCTTGTTCATGAAGATCGTAGGGTGACTATCTGTGAGATTGACGAGTGGTTGGACCTCTCATATGGGAAAGTTAAACGGATTCTGACTAACGACCGGCAATTGGCTGCTTCACCAGGACAACGCACCTGCTCACACTGCCCTCTGTGTGAACGATTTTCTGGCAAAGCACGGCTTCCAGATCAGGCCTCCTGTGACTTCTGGCTGTTCCGAAGTTCAATTTGAACTTCAAGGGGAAGAAGTTCATGGACAGATTGGAGATCCAGGAAAAATCGCAGAAGTTGCTGTCCAGCCTCACCAACGAGGACTTCCAGATCTGCTTTCAGGAGTGGGAGGAGCGGATTCAGCACTGCATTAAGGCCCCTGGAGAATATTTTAAGGATGACTAAAGTTTCACTGTAATAACTTGAAATATAAGGATTTTATGAAACCAGTCCAGGAACTTTTGGATCACACCTCATACCTATACAATATTATATACAAAATTGTGTGCCTATGTTTTACACAGTTAATTTTATCAGAATAGGTACATCTGGTAAGAATATGTAAAATAAAGTTTAAAAAATCCTATTATAGCTTTAATACACTTGTCAAATCTCGAAAATAAAATACATGTATAAATTTTTTAAATCCCTCAAACTACCCTAACATGGATTCTACCATTTTATATTTAATTTTTCAATCACTTATGTTATTTTTGGACAGCAATCCATTCATATACAATGCTCCATTTTTAGTCACATATAAAGTAATTTTTAAACACTTAAACACTTGAGATTCTCATATATTAAACTATAATTTTTATATCAGTCCACAGGTTACAAGAAAAGGCTTTGAGAAGAGAGCCAGAAGCCCCTGCATATATTGTGGTGGGTAACACCTTGGAGTCCTGTATTGTGTACAGGTATGGCACAACAGTTAATTTATATAAAGATCAAGCAAATCATGACAAAGTTCTGTTCTTTTTGTACCAAATGGCCTCATCATCACCCAAAAATTATATCCAAATGGCCCATTAAGCCTTTACATATTTCAACACCAAATATTATGTGAAAAGAAATTACAGGTCTGTTCAGACAAGTTGCTCAGTTTTCAGTTGTAGCAGTAGTATCAACATCATGTGATGTTGGGTCATTTATAATTATTCCAACAACAGTAAACTCTCCAAAGTCCAGACCCTGTAAGTACGGATTTCGGATAGTCTGAACCCCTTCCCGGCAAGAAACAGTTGTCTGAACCTTTAAATGTTTGTTTGAAATTCCCACCGCACGCAGTCATTTAAAATTCCTGGCAGCAAGCAATCCCTTGGCCTCTTTCCTCCTCTCAGAACTGTGAGTGAGCAGTTTATTCCCTGAGTCTTAGAGTGGATTTGATCATAATGCTGCACTGTGACTGGTTAGCTTAAAGTTCAGCACACATTCAGCCACAGAAAAATTAAAAATTTTTAGGTACAGTGATCCCTCGGTTAACGAACGCCTCGGTTAACGAAATTTCGGTTAACGAATTACCTTCCATAAGGATCTTCAATTCGGTTAACGAACAAAAATTCGGTTAACGAAATTCTTACGAAATCATGTCAACATGTTTTCGCTTGTTCACCAGCTAGAATATTACCCGGTAGTCTGCCAAAACAGTAATCGGTTCTAGGGCTTAAATTCGTTCCCATTTGAGTAAATATCAAGAAGGTTATACTATTCAATAATTTTCCAAGTTTTATATTAAAATTTTTGGTAATTTTAACACTTATTTAACATAATTGCAGTACAGGAAACTAGTTTTTGGTGCACCAATCAGCCACTTGACTCACCCACCAAGGCGTCAGTTTGTATCTCTGGTCACTGGAGGTGACATCCTGCTTGTGGCTCTCTTGAACATAAACTATTTTTACGTTTTTACAGTACAATTATTGGTCATTCTGAAATTTATTTAACATATTGACAATATATAGTGCAGTGCAGTGTTGATTTAAAGAAAATAATTTTGAATTACACCTAGTGAACTTAAAATTTTATGGGTGAAATGACGGCATGAAGCATGGGGTGATTTCTCTTCCAACCCCACTTCCTTCTCTTCTCCCTTCTCCACCCCCACTTCTAATTCCCATCATCATCATCATCAACCAGGAGCCGTCTACATACACACCTCAAAGTAAGTGTACTTTACTGCATTTTTTTTTTTACTTTGTAATTTTCGGTGAGCTGGAACCAATTACCCAAAATCCCATTGAAACAATGGTTTCGGTTAACGAACGACCTTCTGAAACGAATTGTGTTCGTTAACCGAGGGACCACTGTACTGTATAACTTGCATTGCTGGAATCCTTGTAAGATAGTGATTAATTTGAGTACAGTATAAACATCATATAGTTTGCACAAGAGATAAAACTTTTAGTCCTTTAGTATAGTACATTGTGTACAAAGTGTGTACAGTAATATGTTGCTCAAAATTATGGCTTTTTTGCATGTAATTTGCATTTAACATTTGTTTAATTTAAGTCTCTAGCAATCCATGGTGCTTTAGAGACATGGGAAGTTTATAATTAGTGGGTCAGAGGTGTGTTGTTGAATTATTATTACCTGACCTCGGTTGGTCCGGTAAAACGGATAATCCAGCAATGCTTTGGAACCAAGGGTGCCGGAAAATCGGTGGTGGACCTGTAGTAATACTGTATGTAGTACGGGTATTGATGAATATCATAGATACATAGTCAATCCATCAGAGTATCATCCGCAAATTTGAAGGTTGGCAACCACATTCCTTCACTAAACATTTTTGGACTGTTTTTACCAATCCTCCAAGGTTTTGTATCTCTCTGGTAACCCAGTTTTTAATTTCATTCATCCATCCCAGTCTCTGCCCTGGCCCTCCTACCCTCATCTTTGATCATTAATATTTCTGATGTTATTATTCCCTCATCCCTAATTAAATGGCCAAAGTACATTTTAATTATTTCTTTTGACGATTTTTTTAAATCTTAGTACAGTAAACCTTCACCCAACACAGGTTAGGTTCCTGAAAAACCGCATGTTGGGCAAAATCGCGTTGGGGAAACTTAGCTTCTTCTGGGAATAATGGGGTGGCAGGATTGTGACCGCATATGGACTCTTATGACGTTGATGGTTGGGGTAACTGTTGCTACATACGCTCGATCCCATAGCCGATCTAAAATCTTTATTTTCTTGGCTAATGTTATCACTTTTCTACTTGGGTGTGCTACCACAACTAGCATCACCTCTGCATTTGGTAGCCATACTGCAAGGGCAAACACACAAAGCAACACAAAAACACAAAAAGTTCCAAAACCACTTTTGTACGGTGTTGACGATTCTATCGTGCAAGAGAGACCGACAGGCATCTCCAACTGGCACGTGGCTGAGGCAGAGTGGAGGAGGAGGGCAAAGGAAGGAAGGTGGAGGCGGCATGTTGTTATCCCGCTTTGTAGGTAGTAGGCAGCTACCAAACAGGGAGGTACTACCACCTGGGAAGATATTGGAAGCATAATGTGTTGCCTAATGGTAGACACTGCTGCCATATGGCATCACAAGAATTGTGACCAAGTCCCAGGTTGCTGATCTGACTTTCTGCCACATTTATACACAATTGCAGGGTCTCAATTATTTCTCTTACCTTGAGAACTCAACATACATATATTGTTTCTCACTATTGACCTTTTTTAAATTTTTGTATTTCTTTATGGTTCTCTATTATTATTATTATTATTATTATATTATTGTTATTATTATTATTTTGTTTATTATGAACTAAATATCATTATTATTGTTATTATTATTACAGTTTGCCCACCAGGCCCCAATGTGGGTCAGTGACCTGTGCCTGGGTGGGCTAACCCCTGTAAAAAAATAAAAATAAAATAAAATAATTAAATAAATTAAAATTTTCCTTGTTGCATAAATTACCAGTATTTGGTCACATATATTTAAACAAGTTTAGTCAAAATCGCTTTGGACAAACCAGCAATGGGCAAGAGTTCACTGTACTTCTTCATTTGTTTTCCTGTCAGGTATTCATCTATAACACCACATTTCAAAAGCCTCCAACCCACTATCTACTGTATTATAAGGTAGCTCTAAAATCCTGCACCACTCATTCCTTCACAACAATGTTCACTATCTATTCTTATAGTCCATGGAGTAATTTTTATATTTATTTGTCTATTTCTTCATTCAAATATCCATGACAAATTTATATGTCAATCCCCCTATTTTAGTCTGCTCAGACCAATTCAACCTAAAAAGCTTTTATATACTGTACAATACAGTATATCTATATTTTTTCCAGAGATTTTGTGAGTTGCCAAAGCGGTTACCGACTACCAGAATCTAATGCCAATGATGTCGTAACATGCTGCATTGTGTGTGATATAGATCAAGATGGCAAAAATGAAATATTAGTTGGAACATATGGACAAGTAAGAATTTTAAAAGTAGTAAAGCTTTCACTCTTGTAACTTAGATTAACAGTCATGTAAGGGTTATGATCATCAGAGTCTTGTCTCACAACTCTTTTGTTGCTTCTTGGTGATATTGGGTATATTGCCAAGATGTAACAGTTCCAAAAGACTTAAGGTTAAACTTTTCTAGTTAGAAGATATGACAGGACTCCACATTTATGATTCCCATAACACAATAGTAATCACAATCAAGATCCCCATAGTAAGCCCTTTACAGTGTACCTTTAAACCATTCAGGCCTACTTCATCCTTGGTTGCCTCATTACCTAACTCAATATACAGTATTTCAGTACAGTAACTGGATAATATGCTTAAAACATTTCAATAGTCATGTGTAAGTTTCACACACATAGTAAACCAATTCTTTACACAAAGAGTTAACTTTAATACCCACATTAGTTAGCAGGCTAGAGGTTTGCTGTGCAGTACAACAAAGGTAATGCAATAATACAAATTCATAACATAACTTTCGATATAATATCGTGCTGGATTTTATTAGTTTCTAAGCTGCTGTGCTAGTTTTACTGACACACAGAGAGTATTGGTGAATGTGCCAATAACAGCACTGGTGACTCAACCATTAAGAGTTTTGGTGACTTGGCCAATAACAGCACTGGTGACTCGGCCAATAACAGCACTGTTGACTCAGACAAAAACACCACTGATGACTCGGACAATAACAGCACTGGCAACACAGTCAATAGCACTGCTGGTGACTCAGCCAGTAACAACACCGGTGACTCAACCAATATCAACACTGATGACTCAGCCAATAACAACACTGTTGACTCAGACAATAACAGCACTACTGTCTCAGACAATAACAGCACTGTTGACTCAGACAATAACATCACTACTGTCTCAGACAATAATATCACTGTTGACTCAGACAATAACAGCACTACTGTCTCAGACAATAACATCAGTGTTGACTCAGACAAAAACACCACTGATGACTCGGACAATAACAGCACTGGCAACACAGTCAATAGCACTGCTGGTGACTCAGCCAGTAACAACACTGGTGACTCAGACAATAACATCACTACTGTCTCAGACAATAATATCACTGTTGACTCAGACAATAACAGCACTACTGTCTCAGACAATAACATCAGTGTTGACTCAGACAAAAACACCACTGATGACTCGGACAATAACAGCACTGGCAACACAGTCAATAGCACTGCTGGTGACTCAGCCAGTAACAACACTGGTGACTCAACCAATATCAACACTGATGACTCAGCCAATAACAACACTGTTGACTCAGACAATAACAGCACTACTGTCTCAGACAATAACATCAGTGTTGACTCAGACAATAACATCACTACTGTCTCAGACAATAATATCACTGTTGACTCAGACGATAACAGCACTACTGTCTCAGACAATAACATCAGTGTTGACTCAGACAATAACAGCACTACTGTCTCAGACAATAACATCAGTGTTGACTCAGACAATAACAGCACTACTGTCTCAGACAATAACATCAGTGTTGACTCAGACAATAACAGCACTACTGTCTCAGACAATAACATCAGTGTTGACTCAGACAATAACAGCACTACTGTCTCAGACAATAATATCACTGTTGACTCAGACAATAACATCACTACTGTCTCAGACAATAATATCACTGTTGACTCAGACAATAACATCACTGATGACTCAGACAATAACATCACTGTTGACTGAGACAATAACATCACTGTTGACTCAGACAATAACATCACTACTGTCTCAGACAATAATATCACTGTTGACTCAGACAATAACAGCACTGTTGACTCAGACAATAACATCACTACTGTCTCAGACAATAATATCACTGTTGACTCAGACAATAACATCACTGTTGACTCAGACAATAACATCACTGTTGACTGAGACAATAACATCACTGTTGACTCAGACAATAACATCACTACTGTCTCAGACAATAACAGCACTACTGTCTCAGACAATAACATCACTGATGACTCAGACAATAACATCACTACTGTCTCAGACAATAACAGCACTACTGTCTCAGACAATAACATCACTGATGACTCAGACAATAACAGCACTGTTGACTCAGATAATAACAGCACTGTTGACTCAGACAATAACAGCACTGTTGACTCAGACAATAACATCACTGTTGACTCAGACAATAATATCACTGTTGACTCAGACAATAACATCACTGTTGACTCAGACAATAACAGCACTGTTGACTCAGACAATAACATCACTGATGACTCAGACAATAACAGCACTGTTGACTCAGACAATAACATCACTGTTGATTCAGACAATAACATCACTGTTGACTCAGACAATAACAGCACTGTTGATTCAGACAATAACATCACTGTTGACTCAGACAATAACAGCACTGTTGACTCTGACAATAACATCACTGTTGACTCTGACAATAACATCACTGTTGACTCAGACAATAACAGCACTACTGTCTCAGACAATAACAGCACTACTGTCTCAGACAATAACAGCACTACTGTCTCAGACAATAACAGCACTGTTGACTCAGACAATAACAGCACTGTTGACTCTGACAATAACAGCACTGTTGACTCTGACAATAACATCACTGTTGACTCTGACAATAACATCACTGTTGACTCAGACAATAACAGCACTGTTGACTCAGACAATAACAGCACTGTTGACTCAGACAATAACAGCACTGTTGACTCAGACAATAACATCACTGTTGACTCTGACAATAACATCACTGTTGACTCAGACAATAACAACACTGTTGACTCAGACAATAACAGCACTGTTGACTCAGACAATAACAGCACTGTTGACTCAGACAATAACATCACTGTTGACTCAGACAATAACAGCACTGTTGACTCAGACAATAACAGCACTGTTGACTCAGACAATAACATCACTGTTGACTCAGACAATAACAGCACTGTTGACTCAGACAATAACATCACTGTTGACTCAGACAATAACATCACTGTTGACTCAGACAATAACAGCACTGTTGACTCAGACAATAACATCACTGTTGACTCAGACAATAACAGCACTGTTGACTCAGACAATAACAGCACTGTTGACTCAGACAATAACAGCACTGTTGACTCAGACAATAACAGCACTGTTGACTCAGACAATAACAGCACTGTTGACTCAGACAGTAACATCACTGTTGACTCAGACAATAACATCACTGTTGACTCAGACAGTAACATCACTGTTGACTCAGACAATAACATCACTGTTGACTCAGACAATAACAGCACTGTTGACTCAGACAATAACATCACTGTTGACTCAGACAATAACAGCACTGTTGACTCAGACAATAACATCACTGTTGACTCAGACAATAACAGCACTGTTGACTCAGACAATAACAGCACTGTTGACTCAGACAATAACATCACTGTTGACTCAGACAATAACAGCACTGTTGACTCAGACAATAACATCACTGTTGACTCAGACAATAACAGCACTGTTGACTCAGACAATAACAGCACTGTTGACTCAGACAATAACAACACTGTTGATGCGGACAATTTCTGGTTGCCATATACTGTACACTACATAAAGAATCACTGATATACCCTTTACATGACAACGATCATGATAATACAGAAGAAATAAACATACATTTAAAATTTATAAGAGAATAGAGTAAAATAATAAATACAAAATTGTATTGTAAATGAATTTTTCTTTGTGCATCTAGATGCACAAAGGTGATTGTTATATTTATGTATAATATTATTTCATTAGAAATCAGCTTAAATCATGCATACAAAGGCCTGCCATTGCTTAGCCAAGTACACTTTTTTCTTTTTTCAAAAAACAGAAAAAGAAGGTTATTTTTAGTTGAAATTAGACACTATTGAATGGCAGGCACATCAACAACAGTTGATGATTAGCTGTGAGGAGGAGGATACGGCAAACACTCTTCTCAGTAAATTATTCTTACAGTTAATGGTGCTTTATTGTTTTACTGTAATAATCATGGGTTGATGAATGGCCTCAAGATAGAGATTATGCACACATCTTTCAATTTTATTTTATATTGTATATTATTTACATTGTTGTGTATTTCATTTAACTTTTATTAATTTAATAATAATACAGTAAACATTTGTACTTCCAGACAATTGGGGAGAAGGTATCCGGATGTGGCAAATTTCCAGATGAACTGGGGGACAAATGCGTGTTAACGATAATCATAATGTTGTACAGTATATGGACTTTACTGATATGGGTAAGAACAATAGTTTTCTTAAAATAACATATACAGTTCTCCTGACCCTCGCTTTATGCTGTGGTTGCATTATGTGACAACAAAGCATAATGGGAATCCACATACAGTGAATACTTAATCTTTTGGGGAAAATTAGGATATGTCCCACAACTACTAAAAGTCAACAGTAATTCTATAAAAGTTGTGGAAAAATATTACAATACTCTAATGTGGGTTAAAATAAAGATAATATAATAAAAAGCTATAAAATATAATATAAAGCAATAAACTAAGACATATGAAGAGCAGGGGTGTTTGTGTGGAATGTGAGAGTGGCTGACTCACCACTCCAGCCACGTCCTGTGACATTACATACAGTGCATTACACACATACACACACACACACACTGTGCCACATTTCACAACAATTTCTTGATCTTTAATGATATAAAAGTTGTAGAAAAATCATTTAAATATTCTGATGTGGCTCAGAAATAAAGATAATAAAAAAATAAAAATATATAATAATAAATAAAGAACATGGATGGGTGAAAAGTGAGGTGCATGTGTGTGTGTGGTGGCAGCTGTGGCCTTGAGCTTCCTGATAATTGAGCAGCCCTCACTCCTTCAGTGTGATGTCACATACACACACATCACATGTAAAGAAGTCTGGTGTAGTACAGTAAAACCAAATATATTTTATGGCAGGGAGTATTTTAGGAAAACCTTTTGAGTGTATTTTCCTCCTGTAGCCATAGTTTTCTTGAAATAATATATACAGTACCAGGAAATGTGAGGAATAAATAAAAATATTACCAACAAAAAATACTGTATTGCCAAATCAGTAAATAAAAGCCAAATGAAATTTTCACACAGTCACCATTTGCATATACTTCCTGTTTCACCATAGTAACGAAGATCAGCTGGGACGCCGATTCCCTAACAACGCTCCCCAACCCCAACACTCTGTGTTCTCCTCCTGTTACATGTTTGCCCTTAGGACAACTATTTGTTTTACTTTTTTTTCACAATATGTATGTAGGATGGTGTGTGCATGTAAATGAGTAAAAATAAATGAAGAAAGTTATAGACATCCACCCAAAAATACGGGTTGATAAACAACCATAACACTTCATAACTTGGCCCAGCGACGACGCAGACTGGGTCCATTTTAGCAGCCGGGGAGTAAACACTGCATTCAGACTGAGAGAGAGACCGGATAGGAATTTGCCACATCCAGACGTCGGTCTGGACCAACCCAAGCCTGGTTCTCAGAGATTCGGAAGTGCAAGAGTTTACTATAATAATAATAATAATAATAATAATAATAATAATAATAATAATGTACATTTAGGCAATTTAACTAAGGATAGCTGACAAAGTCATGAGGTAGTTATTTCGAGTAGGGTCCTTTAGTTTTAATGCCAACAACAGCATCTGGTGTTCCCAGGCAGTCAGCCATTCATGTACTTACCAGACCTAACATTACTTAACTTCACTGATCAGATGAAAAGCTGTGTTCACTTTTTGGAGGCATGTCAGTAAAAATAACACAAAATTGTGTGAGGACAACTGTATGAATTTTTTTTTTATTTATTTACCCTGAAGTATTGAAGTGTGAATATTAAATCAATGGATTTGCCAACAATATTAGAAATGTTTAAAAGAAAACAAGAACCTCATGATCTAGAGTCACAACCTTATTTTCAGACTGTAATTGTTTACAAACTCAGAGAAGAAGAAGAACCATCTACTTGGGATATTCACCACAGAATAACAGTACCCTGCCCAGTACTTTCATTGGCCTATTGTGATGTTATGGGAGATGGCTCATTTCAGCTTATTGTCATGACCACCACAGGCATACATATTTTTCAGGTATAGTATTTTTTGAGCAGTACAATAAACTCAAGATTTAGTATAAGCACATTATTAAAGGGATCTTTGCTGTGTAGAAGCACTAGGTGACCAAACCAAATCATTTCTTGGAAATTCTGGTTTACCCTGTCTCTTTATTTATTCATCTAAGGTTTCATCCCTGAAGTGGTTTTGTAATCCCAAGATCATACATCCTTTAAGTATGGACTAACACATGCACATAGCTATATACAATGAACATAATTATTAAAGTACTGTACTTATTTACACGTAAACGTACTACCTGTACTACTACTACTACACTTTGCTGTCACTCGAAATCGAGTATGACGATCATCCATCTATGAGACAATGATAGGAATTATTAATGATGTCACCTTTGTTGGTGAGTTTTAAGGTAACTAAAGAGGCTGATATAGGACCGGCAGGGCCTGCCTCAGTTTGCTGTCGGGCTAACTCGAAAGTATTGACACCTTCTCGTGTGGTGCTCCTCCAAGCTTTGCGGTGTGGAGTAATTGTCAACCAAGTAAGGGGGGTCAATTTTGCACTTTTTCAGATTTTTCTTAAGACTATCTTTATACCTTTTCAGTTGCCCACCAACATTAGGTTTACTATTTGTTAGGTGACTGTAAAGTAGCTGCTTTGGCAGTCTAATGTCGTCCATGCGGGTAACATGGTCAGTCCAACGTAGTTGTTAGTGCATTGTGGTAGCCTCGATGCTCTACAATTGGTGTCGGAGGATTAAACGTAGACTACGTTGGTGGAGGTTTTCAAGTACCTTGAGGTGCCTCCTGTATGTGACTCATATCTCGCTGCCATATAGCAGGGTGGGGAGGTCCACTGCTCGTTATACATGCAACTTTGTAGATAATTTAAGCTCCCTACAGCTGAAGACATGGGTACGGAGTGTGCCAAAGGTTTGAGATTCACATCTGATCTGATGTTGAATCTCTTCATTGATGTCCGAGGTGGTGGACAGGTGGGAGCCAAGATACTGAAAGTGGGTAACAATAGAGAGGGTAGTACCGTTAACCCTTACGCCCTGGGCTAGGGTGTCGCTGGCCGTATCCCCCATGTGGGGTAAATCAAGAAAAAGCAACTTTTCCCCAATTTTTTTTAACCTTTTTAAATGATAAAACAATCAAAAAGAAATTAGAAGAACTATATATTGTCCCTCTAGAAACTTCCCTGGGGCAGCAGTGGTGAGGGAGGTAAGGGGATAGTGTTGTTTTGACGGCTAGCGTTTGTGGTCACTACTCAGTGGCAATTTTCTGCTTGCCTTGTGTCCAGGATGGCCAGTAATGTATCAAAATACTTATTTCCTGTAAATAATTCATTTGGAATATTTTATTTCCATTACCTTTCATAAAAAATGCTTGGCGACAAAACACAGTCTGTCGCCAGGCTGTCTTTGTGTTTGGTAGAGAAAGTAATACCTATATATAATTATCGGAATAATAATTCCACAAATAAATACATTTATAACTTAATCATAGCATTAATTTACAGTAATACTAAACTACAATACAACTACACTACTTCTAGTAATATTACTTTGATAAAACATGATAAAATGGACAAACAATGAAAATGAAACAAACAAAAGTAGGAAATTATCTTCTGGAAGCTTCCCCGTGGCCGAGTGTGTGGCGTGACAGGCAAATAGTCACATTGGAACATATTAACTAACGCTGGGCATTCAAGCAATGCCGCGAAAAGGTGCACGTTCTGTAACGTCAACCGGGAAGCACCGGACGGACGTTCCAAAACAGCAACCGTGGAACGTAATAACTAACGCTGGGCATTCAAGCAATGCCGCGAAAAGGTGCACGTTCTGTAACGTCAACCGGGAAGCACCGGACGGACGTTCCAAAACAGCAACCGGGGCATAGGGGTTAAGCTGGATGGATGATGGAGATGTGGCTGAACCAGGGGCAGGCTGAAAGAGAATCTGAGTCTTACGTACATTCACCTCAAGGCCGAAGTGTGCATACGCATCTGCATAGTTCACATTCAGTGTGAGTGACAAGGGTGAGGTCGTCTGCATACTGAAGCTCAGTAATGGAAGCTGTTGACATCTTTGTTCTTTCCTGGAATTGTCTTATGTCGAAGAGACCCTTCATCCAATACTCGATGTCCACCCCACCAGCTAAATTGGCACTGGCACGAATAAGGAAGGCAGCCAAGAAAATGGAAAAGAGAGTTGGTGCCACACATCCTTGTTTTACCCCCCGTTTGGTTGGGGAAGAACTCAGACTGTGTGTCATTGTGCAGGACACTGCCATTCATGTTATCTTGGAGTAGCCTCACATTGGCGATGAATTTTGGTGGGCAGCCAAAACGGCTGTTGACCAAGTCGAAGGTCTTGGTTAGGTCGACAAAAGCCATGTACAGGTAGTGATGCTGTTCTCTGCACCTTTCTTGTATCTGGCGGGCAGCAAAGATCATGTCAGTGGTGCCACAAAATGGTCTAAAGCCACATTGAGATTCTAGGAGGAAGTTTTCTGCCTCAGGGAGAAGTCTGTTTAGGAGGACTTGGGCAATAATTTTGCCAGCTACGGACAGCAGCGAGATTCCGCGGTAGCTGCCACAGTCTGACCGGTCTCCCTTGTTCTTATAAATATTGACGATGGAGGTGTCTTTAAGGGCTTGGGGGATTTCCTCCTTTTCCCATATATTCTCCAGGAGAGAGTGGAGATGGCTGGTAAGCAGAGGTCCTCCTGCCTTATACACCTTGGCTGGGATTCCATCATGCCCTGAGGCCTTGTTATTTTTCATTTGTTTGATGGCAGTAGCTACCTCATCCAGGGATGGAGGATAGTTGAGGTGGGTCAGCTCTGGATGCTGATGGACCTGCTGGGTAGTCAGGACATCTACATCGGTGTTTCGGTTGAGCAGCAAAAGGTAGTGCTCTTTCCAGCACTAACGGATGCCTTCTTTATCTTTAATTAGGGAGTTACTATCGGATGTGCGGAGGGGGCTGTGCCATGAGTGATTGGCCCATGAAATGATTTCATGGAATTGAAAAATTTGCGCATCTTGTGTTGATCTGCAAGTTTTTCCGTTTCACATGCTTTATTTTTAAACCAGTCGTTCTTTAGTTTGCGAAGTTCATGCTGGGCTGTCGCTTTCTTCTTGCTGAAGGTATCAGCTTTGGTCCAAGACCGAGGGTTGTTCTGCCAGTCAGTTACAGCAGCACTTTTATCATTGACAAGTACATTGATTTCCAGGTCATTTTCATCAAACCAGTCCTGGTGCATTCTTTCAATCTAGCTGAGGGTCTTTCTGCAGGTTTTTGTCATGACAGTGTTGATAATACCCCATTCGGCTCACTGGGATTTGGGTTGTTTGTTGTCGAGCTGCTCTCTGAAAACATGTGCTACTGCTGGACCCTCCAGATGCTTAGTGTTAAAACGTCTTCTGAAGGTTTGTTGCTTTCGCCATTATGGGACGACGTGAAGTGAGAGCTTGGCTCTGATGAGTTGATGATCAGTGTCGCTGTTGTCTAAGCCACACATGGCTCGGGTGATGACATCTCGGCGATCTCTTTCTCTGACAATGATGAAGTCAATGAAATGCCAGTATTTGGATTGTGGTGTTGCAACGAACCTTTGAATTTGTTGGCCTGCCTAAACAAAGTTTTGGTGATAGTGAAGTTGTGTGCAGCACACTTGCTGAGGAGTAGGCCATTGGGATTACACTTGCCTAGTCCATTTCTCCCTATGATTCCCTGCCAAATGTCAGCATCTCTGCCAACTCTGTCATTGAAGCCACCAAGGAGCACAACCTTATCTTCTCTGGGGGTAGAGGTTAGCACTCTGTCAATGTTGGCATAAAAGGCCTCCTTGATGTCATACTCTGCATCCAGTGTTGGGGCGTATGCACTGATGAAAAAGGCATGATGCGAGTGATTCAGTGGGACTCTGAGCATCATAAGGCGCTCGTTGATCCCAACAGCCATTTCAGTTAGTATGTGTAGGATGGGTTGGCAGATGGCAAAGCCAACTCCATAAATGCGGTTTCTCCCTGCAGCAGGCTTACCCTTTCAGAAGAAGGTATAGCCCGACTCCCGTTCTTTGAGTCGACTCTCGTCTGGGAGCCGGGACTCACTAATGGCTGCTATGTCGATGTTATACCTAGCCAGCTCTTTTGCCATGAGGGCGGTTCTTCTTTCAGGACACGCATTTGTGCCAGTATCCAGAAGGGTCCTGACATTCCATGCAGTGACCGTAAGAGATTGTACAGTTTGTTTTTGTTTTGATCTGGGATTATAATTGTGTTTTTGACCACATAAGGATGACCTTACTGGGTTTGGTTGCCCAGTCAGGTTGGTTCTTTAGGCAGGCTATGTTTAGGGCACCTTTTCTAGTTCCCTCCCCCATGTGTGGTGAGCAGAGTGGCTCCTTGAAAGGGCTGCTCAGTAGCACAGGCAGGACTGGATTACACTGCTGCATAGATCCCAGTGCATAAATGACCATCTTATCTGTGCCGCCCATGTGCAGAGTTGTGACTAGAGACTCCTGGCAGTCATCTCTGCCTGTTCCTGTTGCCACTCGTCCGTCGCCATAGGGTTTTGGGGTATAAGGGTTTAATGATGATTAGGAGTATGATAAATTGGATGATGGCTGCACGTGAATTGATTTATGTGGTGAGGCTGGAGCGCAGGCTGCAACCACACATCTTGGCTCTTTTTGATCCAGTGGTGCAAGTGTTGCAATGACTGGGGAGAAGGAGATTTGCAATGGACTGCCGATAACCCAGTTTGTTGGGTTTTGCCTTAGTAGCCTGTCCATCATGCATTGCCTTGGTTCGCCGGTATAGTCGTTGGGTTCCCATGTTGGTCACCTCTTCCGCCTATACTGTAACGCCATTGGGGTCCTGTTGAAGCTCTGTAAGCATGTCTGCCTGATGCGGGGCTCCACCACAGATTTTTCATTCGGGGTTTACTCCCGAAGCCTTATACCTACCAAGGTTAATCCACAAGGCAGCGGGGCAATGGC